GGTACACGGCATCATACAACGGTTGAATATCAAGAATGAAAAAAGAAAAAAACAACTGTAGACGTATAAAAATTAGTCCGTAAAAACAATGTTGAAGTGGAAGGCTAATTCAAGATTTATTTTATTCATATATTGAAGTATTTATTACTTATAGTTGATTGCATTTAGAATTTCACTGGAAGAAAAGTTAAAGTCACTCAGTGATTTGGGATTTTTATTCGTAAAATGAAGGGAGTGCATCGCTATCATTGAAACTTTGATTAGCGGAATTGGAGTCACAAATGTTCTCCAAAAAAATTGGTTACTGTAAACTATAGCAGCCCGAAACGAAACTGCCGAATGAACGAATTGATGAGCTTGACAGATACATTTACAGGACTTCTGTGAGAAACTGGGATGTTTTCTACGAAAATATACATGAATATTATCCTATGTAAGCACTTTTTAACATTGCATTACTTGTACATGGACGTTTATTTCAAATTGCGCACTTCTACTTCTTACGATTCTGATTGGTCGCTAGAGGTGGTTTTGTTTTGGGCTGCTATAGTTTACAGCCACTCAAATCTACTACCCTTTTCCAAGTGAAATATAGGGCTTCAAGCTCCAGCTTTGTATTCTCAGTAAAAATGGAGTCTTTTAACGGGGTTGGGTTGCTAACCTTACACCCTGCTTTCTCTTTATACTGACTTTACTAGCAGCTACATGAGGTTTAGGATGCGTCTCCCGGGAGTCGAACCCTGGACCGCGTGCCTAATTGGCGAGCATTCTACCTTTGAACCTCCTGCTGACATCTAATATTCTGGTCTTGTCAAAATATTTTCTTCCTTCACGTTCCCCAGTGGAACATAGGGCTTCAAGCTAGTGGCTTGAAGTTTCTGTAGCAGTGTTAATTTTTACAGGATGGGGTTGCTAGCCTCATGGCCAAACTTTCCTCTTCACCAGCATTATTTCTGGCTTAGCGAGGTAAAGGAGTGCGTCTGTGGCCGGGGATCGAACCCCGGACCATGTGGATGGTCGGCGAGCGTCCTAACCACTATGCCACCGACGCACTTTGTCAAAATATACTCAACCTTAATATAATGTATCGAACAAACACTTTACTTGGAAATGCTAGTAACGATTTAACTGACTTACATGATGATAAGGGTATAGTTATTGATAGCAGCAAATTGGTCTCTCGTGTACAGATCTCAATAATTGGTCACCTTGATATCGATAATCATTGAAGTACAGTATTGCATCTGACTAGTTATCCGATATGTCAATTATTACTGTAACAGTTTAAAATAATATCCCAAACTTATTATTATTTGTCAATTAAATCGTTACAGAATACTTTTGTCAATGTATTTGAACCAAATAAACAGACACTCTAGTAACGCTGTAAAAGCATTTTAAGTTCATAAGCATGCTTGCCTTTCATTGGCTAAAAAATTTAACAAATCAGATTTTGACAAACTATTTTATCTGAAGATTGGTTAAGTCGATGCGTATCTGGCGTATATTGATTACAATTTTTAAATGACTATATAAATATAATACCGCATTGAACAACAACACTATTCAAACGATTTTGTTTTAATTATCAGACTATTAGATTTGTCTAACCCGTATGAACTTAACTGTCAACTTGACAAGCGTAGACTAGGCAATTAGTGTTTATTGGGTGGTGGGACAGTACATTACGAACATTTCACCCATATGTATACTGTTTAAGACGTTGGAAAGTTAAGATTTTGTAAATAGAAATAGTCGAAAAGTGAATATACACAATTACTTAAATGAGATTTGCTAGAATGAATTGTTACGGATATTATATTGTTTGCACACGTCCACTGATTATTACGTTTATTTATACACGTATTATTATCATCAGGTGAAATTGAATAGAATTTGACACTGTACACAGACATTATTGATAAGGCTTAATCGTGTTATGATCACAGTTTTTATGATGTCTAGTACAGAAGATAAACAAATCTGTTGTAAATATTTTTATACCCTATCATTTTTAAGGGACTGAATGAAGTTAGACGCTTTCAGAGTTGCTGATAATACATGACGTAAGAGGATGAACATCTGGCCAACATCTTAAAGAGAAGAATATATAACGCCCTACTGCTACATTACGATTAGTATTCTCAAGCCGCCCATTGTTCTTCAACAACTCCAAAGATAAACTATCGCATTTGACCACTTCTATGTGTATCTACCAATTTACTTGCTCATGTGGAGCGAGATATACAGGGTTGTTCGATGCGTGTTTTATCCAAAAGAGTCAAAGAACATTATCTCCATCGGCTAGGAATAGATCACAGTGGATGAATAAAGAGTGCTATAATTGCACATCCATTTAACACTGGACATTCATGGAGAATCCATTCAAAGTCATCTACAAAGTCAAAAGAAGCCTCCCGAAAATGGTAAGCTTTGCATTGCCGAGGAGGCCTTAGCGATCCGGATAGAAAACCTTGATTTATGCACACAGAAGAAATTTCTCCATCCTCTCCTTCTACCTTGAGTATAATTCCAAGTTCTACGGCTTTGTTAATAATGTTTTGTTTTCTTTTTTTCTATTTTTTTTATTTTTTGCATGGTATCTTGGTAACATATTCCTCCTAACGAACCCTTTATTTACTCTTCCTACCTATTACATAATTCATCTTTTTGAGACGTGTCTCCACTAAAATCCTATTTCATATTACGCAACCCTTGTCAATACTTACCAATCTTCAACCCCCCTAGTTACAATTTTGACTATACATCACATTTTAGAAACATTATGATGACGTAAACAGTAACCCTAACTAATTTTTACTTTATTTTTGTTTGACAATCCTAATGTACACATATACACACAAAAATAATTATGTATACATGCTATTGTACAGCTAAGAGAATGACATCGCCGAAAAGAGACTCTTCCCTGAACTTTGTTGTTCTTATACTCATGTCTGGACTGACAAACAAAAACCCGAAATTTCTCGTAATCAGTAGTCAAATGACAAGCTGTCTGAAACGTACTTAGAGTTAGTTATCCAGCTACTGTTTCTCTTAATTAAATAACTAGCAGGTTGCTATGACAATCTGTTTACAATTACTGGAAATATATTGTTATGAGGCGGAATAATAATGTGGCGACACTTTTAAAGTATCATGCAATACCCAGGTTGTTTTAAAAATATATGTAAAGGCCAGATTTACATTTAAATTACATATGACCCATGTGGTGAATGCAAGTGTGTGTGAAAAAGTACGTGTTATAAGTCTGTTCACGTATACTCAAGCTATGCAGATGTTACGGAAAGTGCTTATCTAAGTTTCCTTCGATTGAAAATATTCAACAATACTGTAGTGTGTTTTATATTTTCTCTCTGCTTTGAAGTTTTGAAATTATATTGGAATAATGAATATTGATTCAGTTTAACTTGTCTGTTGTATTATATCATTGTATTAAATTCCGATTTTTAACAGTAATGTCATTGCTTCTATATGGTTCAGAGATGGAAAGCACTTTCAACAGACTGAAGGTATTCATCAACAGATATCTCCTCTTGATACTGAAGATCAAATGGCTGACCAAAAGGGATAAGCAACAAAGAACTTTGAACGTGCTGCCAGTCGGTCAAGAATCAGCAGGACAAGAAATATTCCAGAGGAGATATAGGTGGATTGATTATACACTGAGAGGACATTCAAATGATAGTACACAATTGGCCTTCCAAGGGAACCAGAATGGGAAGTAGCGAGTTATGTGTGGATCCGGGGGTGACATAGAGTAGGACATGTGAATAAGAAATGAAAGCATGTGGGCAATCGTGAAGCCAGATGAAGAGGACTTCATAGGACAGGACGAAATGGAAATGTGTTGCTGAAGCCCAATGTTCCACTTAGAGTCCAAAGGATGAATCATAAAAATATAAAGCAGTCGTGTATTTTCCATGATATAATATTCTAACTTCATATGAATTGTGATCAAGATTTGATGGGATAATTTCGAAATAATTGGACGGCCAGTGAGAAGTAGACATATGTAAAAATTATATTTGCGAAATCTCAGTGTTGGCCGTGGACTAAAGAAATACGATCAGAAGTGTTATTTGGTTACAGGATTTCATCATGGGCTGATATCATTTAGAGAATAGTCGGAAAACTTGGGAGTACAGAACAGCTGTTTCGTCAGCCTGGTTTGGGACTCTTCATCAGCACGCACCAACCGACAGGGTTCCAACCCAAGACCTTCTGGTTACAAAGCTAGCGAGTTCGTAGATCATTAAGCCACTGGGACCTGATCCAATGGCGAGCCCATGAATTCTCACTTCTGCCAATTCAAGACAAGGCGCAACCACTTCGGAAGGTCTTCTTCAATGAGTTACTGTCCTCAACAATACTTGAAAATTAATCTTATGCTCGGTAGCGACTGGCCATATTCGGGCAGTTAACCTGAGGTTCTAGTGGGAAGCGGTGACTAGTAGGGTGCAGCAGGTTGGAGATGAGACAGTAACTCATCGAAGAAGACATTCCGAAGTGGTCGCGCCACGTCACGAATTGGTAGAAGTTAGAATTCATGGACTGGCCACTGAATCGGGTCCTAGTGGCTTAACGGTCTACGAGCTCGCTAGCCGTGTAACCAGAAGGTCCTGGGTTCGACCCCTGGTGTTGGGTGCGTACTGCTTCAGGGTTAGTCCAAATTAGGAAGAAATAACTGTCCAGTACTCCCAGGTGTGTTTTCCAATGGTTCTCTAACTGTTGTTAGCTCATGATGAAATCATCCAACCAATCAAACAAAGTAATCACCTAAAATATCTAAAAAATGTCGGTAACTTGTTATTTCAATACAGTTTCATAGATTTTAGTTTATACTAAGTTGATACAAAATATATTCCCCTCATCTTAAAATGCCTTTCATTATATATGAATGTCATTTACAGATTAGAAATTTATGAACAATTAACTAACCGATTTCATTATTTATTCAGTATAATATCTGAAGCCTGTTTTGTATACATTATTAAAGCCTGTAAAACTTTTCAATTTAAAGTTGCCAATTTCTTTTTCAATACTTTATAAGAAAAAAGGATTATAAAGAAGTTACTCATCATTCGGTAACAACTAACAAGTTTAACCGTGTTTATTTATGTTAAACAAGCAAGCCTTCTAACTTTTACAGACGATATTAAAGACGGTATATATTTATCGACGTATATATATGCATATATACATATATATATATATATATCCTCCCATAAGAGAGTTGATGCACTTAGAAAGGCGAAATAGTCGGTACAGTGGTCTGATTAAAAATGAAAAGATTGTGAAACCAATACTGATAAGAGTAAATAATTGCTTAACATGCAGTTGAACTTCAAATTTCCAGGTTGAACTGTATCATGCAAATGCAAAGTAATGCAGAAGAGGTTTATTTTAGACGACAATTGTTTCTGGTTAAAATTTTAAAAAAAACTAAGTGGGTGATCGATACTGTTATAGTCTATAATGGATAATAATCATGAATCTGCTGAACAGAAACTCTAATGGTGTTAAAACTCAGAAATAGTATTTACTTTCTAACTGGCGTCTAATAATAGAACTCGTTCAACTACCATCGTAAATTTATATTTGTTGGTAGCATGCATGCGTGTGATGAGAAAACTAGAGTACTCTTCATTGTTGGAAAGTAAATGTGTGTCAAGTGAATAGTGAGAGTAGGTATTTTTTCATAATTTGTTGAAGTTTTAGTTTTCCACATCCTCTCTATGATTTTAAGACCATTTGTTGAGGTCAATTTTGCCTTAGTAACACACTTTAGATACATATAACAAGTATTAGAAAATGTAAGTTATTTAGTAATCCTTACTCGTCCGCGCATCTTGGAGTTAAGATGGTATAATTGTCGTCTCTGTCAGTGGAATTCTTACTCGCAGTACGTCAGCTGAATGCACCCACACCCCAAATGAGTGGTGGGGTCACTGAAAAAGAACTGTTAACCACAACTAACGAAGTAACTTCACTGGTATATGTAAAATATTTGAATACAACTCAAAATTATAAAGATCTGATTTTCTACTCTTATCTTATTTCAAAGACAAACCAAAAGAAAATGTAATTATATCCGAAGGCACTTTAGTTGAAGTGGGTATGACTCCATTATGGATAAAGAAAGAATATAAGGCATCTACAGTAGTTTTACCCTATATAGAGGGGACATCTGAGACCCTACGTAGGATTCTTAATAAAACAGGAATTAGGGTGACATTCAAACCTATAAACTCACTCAGAGACAAGCTCTGTAGGTTAAAGGACCCAATTAAACAAAATAACATCATTTACAAAACACCTTGCAATGACTGTGAGTTAAGTCAACTACATAGGTCATACTAGTCAATCAAGAGTAGTAAGATTATCAGAACATTAGAATTTAGCTGAGGTTAGAATGATTGATGCCACCAAGATAAATAATTCAGAAAAAAACTCAGCAATCGCATTGCATTCATTAACACACAACCGCACAATAGGTTTGATCGGAAAGAGTCAAAAAATTCTAAAAATTAATACAGGTAGGTGGAGCGCGAGAGAGATTAATTACTGAATCCTTGTTCATCGAGTCTACACCAAACGCATGCAATAGAAGTGACTCAACGCAAATTCCAGAGATATGGAAGATATTATTACAAGTCAAATCAGAGGATAATAAGTAATGTTAAAATGTATTCAATTCACATTATTATATGCTAACAAGTTACTTATTTTTACTGTAAAAAAAATCCATCTTATTTCCCATC